AATCCACATCATTTTGAAAAAATGCTGTTCATAGTTAATTTGTATGAATTCCACAAACACAGAATTTCCATGATCCTATTTTTGATTAGTACACCCCTGTAATGTCCATTGATGGTATCAGCGGGTTCTCTTCATCTTAGCACTGAGATAATTAACAGATAAAAAAATACAGATGTAGTTATTTTCAGAGTAAAACACAAAAAAAGACTCAAAAGCTAAAGTAGTGGTTTAATAGAAAACTATTATATTTGCCCGGGTGTCTGTCAGATGTCAGCTGGTACTTTGTTATTCTTCTTATAGACAATTTGTCTGCTTTAATCCTTTCATCTTTTGTCAAGAACTGAAATATCGCTTCAGGCTTTCTCTATAGTAAACGAAGGTTCATTTTATTTTTTCTCATCTGGACTGTGTTCTTAAGCTTGAATAATATATATATTTATCATGGGTCTTCTCTTCCTTGTTTAAAGCAAATGAATGTGTATATTTATGAAAGAGTTCATGTAGTGAACAGTCCAAGATAATGCATCCAGCTCTTATTCCAGATTTATAGAAGGACTTTAACTGCAAAGTCACTGTACTGTTTAATGTTGTATTTTTAATTTATTTTAGATATCTATAGAAGCTACATAGTCTGCAGAGTTGTGTGGGGGATATGAATCCATTTACACTAGTCTCTGCTCCTAAAAGACTATAAACATGAAAATGACCTACAACAGTCATAAACAGACCTGCAGTCACAAGGGGCAGAAAGTCAACCCAAAAGTTATATGTCCATTTTGGTGAACAATAGGCTAAATCACCTTCTGACTCCTTATTTATTTTAGGACTCAGCTTTCTAAATCATAGCCATTATAGACACCAAAGATGATGTGAATAACCCCTCCTGTTCAATTTTTAGTTAAGTTACATTCATTACTCTCAATGCAGAAAACAAAGGTGTATCACTCCTGCAAAGGTCTCTGTGGTGGGACACTGTTAACATGAACACTTACAATAGAGTTGCTACAGTTTCTTTCATGATCAAGGTTGCTTACAAAAATTATGCAACTCAACAATGTTGGGCGTTAGTTCAAGGATTTTGTAAATGCGGTCAAGCTATTATAGCTTCAGTGTGTTTTAGGGTAAGGTTATATTCAATAGGTTCTCTACAGTTATGTATGCACTATCATTGTTCTGTTTAAATATAAATTATTTATAGTATACGTCTCTTTTTGCCTTCAGAAAAAGCCTGAATCATTTGCAGCAAGGTCCTGGAAACTTTCCTTAGAAATCTTGGCCCATGCTGACCCAATAACATAATTATTGAAATCATTTCCACAAAGAACGATGGATCAGTTGATAACTTGCTGTGTATGCCACATAGCTTCTATTTGCCTGTGCAGGAGAAATCAAGATTTGCAAGACAATACAATACAGTCATCCTATAGTGGTGATCCTTTGCCCATAAATTAACTTTTCTTATTTTAGTTAACAGGAACGAAAGCTGGAGTGACCTTCGCAGCTGTAGCACATCTAGTTCAAGGTTTAATGTCTTGTGTTTAGAAATACCCTCTGTAAACCACTGTTCTGAAAACTGCAATTTAAATAGTTTTGGACTACCTCTCAGCTTTAAAGGGTCTGCCCATCCTCCACTGACCTCATAACAAGATGTTTTTTTCTACACAATGGATGCTCACTGTGTGTTTTATGTTTCTTAAACTATTCTCTGTAAGTTCTGGAGCTTTGAAAAAGTCAATATTTTTGACAAAATGGATCAGCTGGAGGTTTATTTATGCAGGCTGGAGCAAATAGAGCGATATTTCATAGTGCTCTCTATCACTTGGTCCATGTCAGTGTGATTGTTTTTACAATGTATCTATTTTAAATAAATGGAATTTCAATATTAGCCTTTTATTCCGCATCATTGTACCACTTGGGATAGGTTTGAAATATAAAAAGAAAGATATTGATGATCGCAATCTATCTGTAATGGGGAGTTGGGCATGGAGGAAATGACCTCCAATTCAGCTCACTTTCCAGTTCAGCTACGTTGTCCTAGATTGTTTCCTTCTCCTGCCTTCTCCAAACTCTTCACCCTTTTGTGAATAACCCTGGAAGTGTATTTACCTTTCTGGAGAGGTCAATCAATTGGTGAGTGGCTGTCCAATTTGGAGGTACCTGTGCACATTTATGGTGATTTCTTCAGGAGCACTTGTGAACAAGAGAAGAAAAATCACATGATAGCACATTATATTATTGCACTTTTTGTGTAGGGAAGACAGGCTGAGCTCTGTAGTTTTATAGACTATGATTTAAGAACATTGATATTGTTATCATTACTGAGCATAATAGCACTTTATAGCACATTAGTGTGGATTATTCAGTTTTTATAGGGCTTGCTGTGTTTTGTGGTCCTGCAAAAGTTGATATATGTGGGGATTCACAGTATAAGTTATTTGGATGTAGGAAGTTCATTACGAGCGCTGCACAGATTTTATTAAGTATATCACACAAGTGGGTTTACTAACACTTTATTAACTGCAGAAGCTATTAGTCAAGTGTTTCCATCAGCTAAAGTACTGCTTCAGATATCAAACCTGTATATCTAAGATTCACAGTACAATGCAAAGTTTTTCAAGATTTAATTCATCCAATTGTGAGGATCCTTTGCCCATAAAACTAACTTTTCTGATTTCAGTTAACAGGAATAAAAGTTAGAGTCATTTTCTCATTTTCTGACACAGCAAATGCTCACTGTCTGTTTTATGCTTCTTAAACTATTCTCTGTATGTTCTGGAGACTGTTGTATGTGCTTCGAACAGTGAGTCAGTAACTTTGCCTCTCATAAAGCCACAGCAAACAGAGGGAAGCAGAAGGGTGACTGTATCTGGTAAGACCCAGGTGCAACCCGCTTTGACTAACAGGGAAATATTTCACATATGCAAAGTAGGAAAGGGGTTAGAACAGGGGCAAGCCCATATCAAAAGACATTATATAAACTTAGGGCAATTTAAATTACACAAAAAGGTAGGCGACTTGACATTTAAATATTTAGGCAGTACATATTCTTACAGAAACAATTGCCGCACAAACGACTGATATCACAAGCTGGATACTGTTTATTTTCGAAGTAGAAACATACTGTAAACATACACAGGCTCCTCCAACTCTAACATGTTTCACCAAATGGCTTATTCATAGAGATTTGGATGTTTTGACTTCGGGAATAAACAGTATCCAGCTTGTGATACCAGTCGTTTGTGTGGCAATTGTTTCTGCGAGAACCTGTATCAAGCTGCAGAGTGCCTTTTTTTGCCTGCACCAACAAGAGGGATGGGGCTGTGTGACTTCAGAACAAGAAATATGACCGGTGGCTGCTTTGTGAGTTTTATTTAGGCAGTACATGTTATAAATGAAATACCATCTATGAATATGCTTATATTATTAAAGTCTTCAGGTCTTCAAACATTTATATCTCTGATAGTTGTCATTAGTAAATTGGCTGAACATCTCACCAACCCCAGTAAGCAACATGTACGGAAGTTGGAGAATATTGCAACTTCCGTAATAATGTGCACAGCATAGGTAAAAGGAGAGAATCAGATTATGAACCATTAGCCTATTTTTAATGTCTATTTTATTATTTTTGGTCATACATATTTAAAGAGAATTGTTTATTTTTGTAGCCAAGAATACAACATAGGACTGCTCTCTATACACAACAAAATTAAATGCAGAGTGCACAGTAGAGCTGGTCTGAATGGCATCTCCAGGCAACAAAAAGCAACCGCTGTGTTTGAATGTAAACATGTGGTTAAAAAGCACAGAACAAACCTAAAGCATAAAATCAATATATAAAGGCAAGGTTCTAAGACGGGACAAAAACCCCCAGTCATCTAAAAGAGGAAGCCCCCTTTAAATACGTATGACGTATCTTCTGTAATACAAATATGTATGAGCATTTAAAAGGATTTATTTTAAAAGATTTGGTTTGTGCATCTCCTCCATTTGCCTTCACTTAAAAAGACAATCTGACTGATATGTGGCCTAAGGGAATTCTCCCATTTGTCAAAAGACCTTTCATATTCATGTTAAATACAGCACAAGTAGGGCATTTTTCCCTGCCTCACAGTCCTTTCACTATATCTGACGTGTGATCATAGGAGCTTATAAGAACAATTTATCACTACCTCTTGCCAAATTGCACAGCCAAAACCTGATTACAAACTAGAGACAGAATCATATATTTCCAATGCTGTTTTACTCTTCGGTCTTATATGATTTTACTACACTGTATAAATATAAACAGTTCCTATATTGTTGTTATATACAGCAGCATATACTTTACTCATCAGACTTGAATTACAACTTAAGCAGAAATGAAAAAAATAAAATAATAAAAAGAAAGTTGTTGATCGCTTTTATTTATAGTAGTTTAAAAACGCAAATTTGGTTTTATTTCATGTCACAGTAGAAAGGAAATGTATTCACATGGATTGTGAAACAATATATTTCTTTTCCAGCAAAAAAGTGAAAACATCAAAGAAACATATTTAAAAAGCTAAGAAAATTACTTACAAACACCTAGACTTATTATTTCATAAATAGGCGCAACAGGCTCCATTTAATAATAAAAAAATTAAAAAAAATAAAATAAAAAGATTAAATACAGACACAGTATGGAGAAACAATAACACATCGCCAGATATCAAGGTTATAATTTAGCGGTTCCCAATCTGTTTCTGCATCTAGTAAAATAACATGTAAGCATTTGGCAGTCTTTATACATATAGGGACATTATAACATTTACTAACAATACACAAGAAGTGATACAAAAAGCCATTTAATGTGGTACAAAATAAATGTGTTTGTTTTCAGCGGAGCCCACTGTATATTTAGCCAATTTTTCAATTTCTTGGGAAACAATTTTTCTCTGATATATTTTTGAAAATATAGACATATTAAGCAATAAAAAAGAAGCAAAAATGTGAATGCTTGCCAATTCTAACCATACCCCCTTCCCCCCAAATTTACCACCTGGAATGTACGATTTTGAAATTTAGTAATTTAGCAACAATAACATCCACATTTTATACTCTAGGAGAAGGGACACTCATGCTATGTACATCCTTGCTATGAGTGCTACATCAAGCCTTTAAGAAAGTCTTTTGTAGATTTTTTTAAATGACCTTTGAGAAAATCATTGTGATCTCCATGAGTTTTTAGTCGAGATGACAGTTGCTAAGGCAGCTTACTAGTTCAGCACTTCACAGCAAAACCGATATATTTGAAGAGTCCAGATTTCTTTAGAAATCGTCTTTCAGTAAAGGGAAAGTAATGTTACATAAAGAAGTTTCAAAAGAGAAGCAAGACTATTTTTCCCAGAGTGGATGGTCCACAAATGTAAATGTCCTAAGTGCTTAGCAACTTGATTTTTTCTAATAAACTGCAGATATGCCTTGGCCATGAAATGCAATCCTTGACAAAGGTTGTCCCTGCATTCTTCCTCTGAAAGAAATTCATTTTCTTGGCTTGTGTTTTCAAGTTAGGTACAGTGCCTTGTCTCTTTGTAAGTTCCTGTAGAAAACAAACATCAATTCATTAAAAGTCATGGACAGCTAGGTGCAACCTTTTTTGTGTAGTGGTTGGCAGCATACAATTGTTGGGAGCTCTATGTGCAATATATCTCCTAACTGATGAAATGCACAATGAATTTAAATATATAGCCAATGCCTTTTTCATTTTGTTTTTGGTAGAGTAGGAAAGGGTTAAAACTAGGTATGCACCGATACTTTTCGAGTACCAATGCCGATACTTGGCATTTTTATGAGAACTACCAGGGTTGCAGCTATGACCTGGCTCTGGTGCTCCACCATTGTCCTGAAATTATTAGCTAATATTGTTTTAGAAAAACTGTCACATGACAATAAACAAAAATGTATCTGTACCCGTACTTGTAAGTACTTGGGCAAGTACCAGTACCTGTACTCGCAAAACTGGTATCGGTGCATCCCTTTATTTATATTTAAAAAAACAAAATCATACATTAAAACAGAAATGTACAAATCCCAGGAGCTCCGTATGCTCCTTACAAATGACAGCTGCCTCCTAACTTTTGAATTTTTCTCTAGTCTAGAATTGGAGCTCGAAAAGTATCGGTACATGTACTTGTACCGAGTACTGTACTTGGTATCGGTGCATTCCTAGTTAAAACTGAGTCAGTTTTTTTTGCCATGTGTATCTCGTTGGGACAATTCCTCTTCACTGCCTGTCCCAGAGATTCAACAGGAAGTGAGAGGAAACCTCTAACTGTCTAATATCCACTCCTAGACAGTTGTCAATGGAACAGATATTCCCATTACCAGATTTACTTTACCTCTTGTTCTGGTGACAACGCTAAAGCTTTGGCTTTTCTGTCACTTTATGTCTCAGTCACAATTGTCACCAGGACAAGTAGAGGGGGTGACTCTACCTAGCAGAGGCATAGAGAGCAATTAAACTTGGCAGGTGTTTATTTTTTCCCTACTCTATCAAAAACACAAACTTTAAATGAAACCTATCTTGAGAGAAGTATGCAGGCTGCCATTGCAGACTTTTCATTCTGAAAATGTATTTGCTTCGGTTTCATGCTGACCCTCCAGCTTCATTAGTTTCAGTCATGACTGGGAACAAGTATGCATATAAAGACTTCTGCCTTGATTTGGACTTTTCTGATATGCAGACTTTAAAGCTCAGTGAGTCTGAAAATATTGAAGCCAATGGGTCAGCTTTATAAATAGGCAACTAAAAGGAGGTCAGCAATGGCAGTCACCATATATCTCCTAAAAAAGATCTACTTGACAACCATACTGCAAGTAACTATGTATCAATCACAACAATACTAAACATATCATTATAATTGACAACTATAATTACTGAATATTTTATATAGCAAGATGTGAATAATGTGTGAATATTGGTAACCTATGTGTTTGCTGATTTGTATGTATCATATGGTTTCTGATCAATTATATTTAAATCACAGAAGAAGAAGTAAAAAACATTTTAAAAAGTTATTAAAAGTACCAATAGTAGAAATTTAAAATTAAAAATACATAATTTAAAGCATAACTCCAGGCAAATAGCAATCTAGAATAGGTAAAATGCTTCTAGGAGAGCTGTTTTACATGCCAAAGGATGTGTATTTCTGTCCATCCAGTGCTGAAGTTACACAGCTCTGCTACACTAGATAGCATTGTCCTGGCTGATATTCTTGTGCTGCAATTCAGTAACAGTAACAGGTCTTGTCTCCTCCTTAGCCTGTGACTGAAGAGTAAAAGACAAACAGCGGACTAGTGAAGGTATATTTCTATAAGTCTGCTTCTTCCTCTTATCAGTATGTCTTGTGTTAGCACATGAGCACTGCAGCAGAACTGATTGTCTTTTTGTGCTTCTTCTCCCTCTCACAATCTAAACTCAGCTGGACAGGATATTGCAAGAGGCTGATATCAAATTAAATTCAGGTACTGCTTGCATTATAAATACATATAATGATGTAATAAATAATGGGGAACTGCATTAATTGGTGTATTTTATATCTGCCTAGAGTTCAGCTTTAATGAGCATGTTTTACAAATACAGTTCTCATTTTCAAAAGTAAAGGTCGATATTGTTGGTATATTAAAGAGTTATTGTCATAGATATGCAGTCATTCTCATTTCATATTATGTGTGGTAAGAAGTAACCACTTGATCAGGTAGGACACTGATAAAAATACAAGTTGCAATGAAAAATTCTTTAAAATATTCAAAAGCAGGGACTCTACAATCAAAGTCTGAGTTTGTGAAATGAAAGTGTGGGCCGCTGCAACTATGGGTCTCCTCATAAAGAGTAAGGACCCTTCAGGGCCTTTAGTGTAAGTACTTTGGTAAAGTAAAAGTAAAATATCTGGTCCATCAATGAAAAGTCTAGATTATTTACTTAAAGTATCCTGCAGTTAAAGGTTAAACGGAAGGGGAAGTGTGTGGACAAGTATTCCTCCTTTTAATTAAAGTATACATCCGCTACACAAACTAGTAAAGTTTACCGTTCCTATTGTTTCTTGTTAAGTTTATGTTTTATTTGATAACTTTAAGTGTATCTCAAAGTCAAATCTTTTTTTTTTTCTAACTTTGGATGGAGTAGTGAGGGGTTGGAACCAGTGGTGTCACAAGAGGGGGTGGAGGGGGGTGCGGGCCGCACCGGGTGACATTATCAGAGGGGGTAACACCAAAATAACTGACAGTCATTTTGGTGTCAACCCCTCTGAAAAGTGGGGCACTCGGTCATGGAGCCTGACAGTTGCACGAGAAAGGAGGGGACCATCTTTGCCTGCATCCATCATCAAGATGGCCGCAGGCAGGTAAACATGAATGACAATATTTCGCACATGCGCGATGACATCCCAGCGGGGTGTCACCTGCCGGCAGCTCCGGATGATACCACGCCTGGGGAAGCCATTGTCATGGTGACAATTGACACCAGAATGGAAAGTGAGGGATAATACAACATTTTGACATACTAGCCTGTAAGGACAAACTTTCTATTGCAGACATTTATTTCCATGACATGTAAGAGGACATTTCCCTCACTTTGGAGAGATAGCCTCTTATGTTATGTTGTGTATACAGAACAGGAAGGGAAATCTCCCCAGTGGGCAAGTATGGCAAACAAAAGGACCATCCATGAGTCAGAGCAGAGGTAGGCCTGTAAAACTGCTTTACAGAACACCCCTAGACAAAAACAAGCAGTTAACCCTTGCATTACAGGGGTAGCCACACTGCAAGGATAGTTTTTTTTTATACTCAGAGATTGGTTTTAAAACTGTCAGGATTTTTGTTGTCAACGGTCACCATGACAAATGGTGGGTGGAGGTTCCAATCCCTCACTACTCCATCCAATAAAAAACTAGAAAAAAGATTTGGCTTAAATACACTTCAAGTAAAGTAAAGTTATATCTATTACTTTGTATAGTGCCACATGAGATAATGCTATTATATATTAGCAAACAGTTATAATAATAATTACAACAATCATAATAATGATAATTTTATGTAAAAGTATTAAAGATCTATCTATCTATCTATCTATCTATCTATCTGTTATTGTTTTTTGTGTATATTTTCTACTATAAAACAGTTGATACATTTCTACTATTTGTAAGTTAAAGTGTATAAAATAAATATGGTTAAACAATAAAAAATACTTCTTTGTTGCTTTGCAACTAGTAACTATGTTCCTAAGGCATGTGCTACAATGGCGTTGTCAAACATTCATAACATGAATACAACACTAGAGTGTGCTGGTAGCCTGCTCACCCACTACTGCAGTAGTCATTGTTCCATTCTATGGCCTGTCCTGGAGGATTCCGGCATCCTGAGCGGACATACTCCATTGCTTGAGTAACAACCTGGGCTGCTGTAGATGTTGGGTTAATAAGATTCTGGTATTCTGACTGAAGAGTAAATCCCTGAGAGAGATAAAAAAATACTGTATAATTAGCTACAAAGAAAAAAAAATACACTGTGCACAACATAATGTTCAAGACATAAAAGATTCAATTAAATGTAATTTTACTTTCCACATTATCAATATATTGGCATCAAAATATACAATGCACAGCAATTATGTCTCTGTATGAAATGAAAGTTCTCATAGAACATAAACTGGTTTGCACAGAAGAAAAACAAAAATGTTTTAAACAAAAAGGAGACAAAACAATCAACACAGCAAATGGAGATATATTCCTCTGAATCTGTGTTGTTCACATAAAACTCAAGGATACATTGCTTGTTAATTTTCAAAATATGCAACAGAATCTTTTTGAAAAGAGATTGGCAGCAGGTGGCTGAGTGTTTTATTAGGCTACACCTATTCATGCATTGTTCTGAAAACCCTTTTTCTTCATTCAATCACAAAAGGACCATCTGCTTCTTTTATACTTACACTTCTTTTTCAACTAACAAAAAAGCAAAGCACTATACTATTTATTTGAATTAATGAGTAACAAATAATAATCAAACTCCACACTGTGGTAAAAGAAAAATGAATAGCTTGCCTGCAGTTTCAAAATAACAATTAATTTTAAATATGTATTACTGCTGTTGAAATTATTTACTTAATTACTAAATTGGTCTACTGAAAGTTTACTATATATATATATA